AGGGGATCATCTCAAGCTATACAAATGTTTGAAACGATAAACACGTAACATCCAAGTATACAAGACATGTACACTAACCACATTATAACTAAGATTACCAAATCACAAGCTACAAGAAATCCATGATTTACAACTTGGAAAGTAATACAAAATCAAATAATGGAAAGACTAGGATATGTGGCCACGAGACCATACAAGTTATTTTGGGTAATTACGACCCACAATGTACTACCTAGTACGCACTATGACTTAGGAGAATTCCGATCCTCCGTACTAGAGCCAAACCCTATCCATCAACATCTCATATCCTTACAAGCTTCCAAAAATCAATAAGTGCATGACATTTATGCAATCTCAATGCATGAAACTATCCACCAAGCACAAGTAGGGTAAAACCACACAACCCATGTCTTAAGCTTACATTTCTAAAGTGGCAAGTTAATGATATTACACATCATGTTATATTAATTTACTATCAATATAAGCCATAATTGCAAATCATGAAAATATAGTAATCTACCTACAAGTAATTATAAGTGCCACACACAAGATTTTCATACTAAGCTTTCAATGAAATCTATATTTCTTAACATCATAAATGTAATCTCAAGAAATCCAAAATAAAACCTCAATGGAATCATAAGTGTTAGGCAATTTATTAGACAATAACGTACCTATACAATTTAATAGTCACATACATGCTTTAATTCACAAATCCTAAATCAAGCATATAAAATCTTTATTTACATGCTAGTACAAGAATTTAAAGAGGCATGTAATCAATATATATCAAGCTCCAATATATATAAAACCCAAAGAGGATAAACATACAATCACCCCTACCTCAGTAGAGAATTGAATCTCTATAATCCAAGCAACCAAGCTTAAAATAGGAAAACAAAACAAGGGTTTTGAAGAGGAAAGTGAGAGGAAGATAATGTATTCCAAGCTTAATGGTCTAAGGTGAGTGGAAGGAGGCCAAAATGAAGAAGAAAACTATTAATCAAGCTTTTCTCCAATGGTGGCTTAACTTAGGGTTCTTGAGAGGAAAGAGATAAAAATGAAAAAAATGTGTAAACCCTAAGCTAAATGGTGGGATTCTCCACTCACTAGGTGCTCTTGCACTACCTCTCACACACACACAATTGCAAGACTAATTGTGAAGCCTACATTTGTCACCATCTTATGTAAACTTCCAAGACTTAACATTGAGCCTACACTTGTCAACCATCTATACCAACAAGTGCTCCAATTCTAGGCCAACAAATGGGTGAATCTCCACCCTTTAAGTGTCATGAGATTAAACCCCCAAGTGGCTCCACCACAAAACCAACAAGTGGCACCTTAGGAATGTGACACTTGTCACATTTTTCAAAAATTACAAAAAGATCCTTCTTGAAAATATCTTCCAAATTAAATAGCAAAATGGTCCCTAAGACGAAAAATAATTACTTTATTTAATTACGCAAAACCCCTCAAGTTTAGTGTAATTACCAAAAGTGATGCATTTATGCCCTTTACAAAGAAAATAAACAATTAACAGGCTTTTCTACAAAAGTGAAAATGTAGATCTCATGGAAATGAAATATCATGGATGTATGCAAAGCCGGAATCAAATCCGAGCACAAAAAGTGAGGTTATGTAAGGAAAAATGAAAAATAACTAAAGGACGAAATAGGGAAAAGACAAAAAAAAAAAAAAAAAAAGTTATCGAAAAAAGAAAAGAAGGGAAATGACAAGGTCATTACAGAAGTGATAATCAATAACTCAAATGAAGACATTTTCTTGCATTGTAAATAAGTATCAACAAATTTGCATGCAACCATTAAAAAAATAAAAAACAAATTTGCATGCAAAACAAAAATATGGCCAGTTTTGCGCTACACAAGTACTCACAGTTTTCGAAACGCTTCTACATAGATAAGGGGATGCCTCCAGGGAATGTCTAAACCATATTAAAAATTGTAAACGCTTGTGCAGCACAAAATTAATATCTACACAGTGTGAGGTGCTAACTGACATGAGACTCATCAGTATTGTTTAAATCGAAAGAGGGCTTCCTGTCACGCCCCACCCGTGGAATGTTTGTCTAGACTTATACAATATAATTAATCTAAAACTCTTTAGAGTAAATCTATGGAGATGTCTTAGATATTCTTTAGTAGTGGTGTAGAACCCATTCTAGAATTCTCCCAGCAGTTGGAATTTAGATTGCTTTGGCCTATAAATAGGGGTGGGAGTCACGGAGCAAACAAGTTTTGTAAAATATTCTACAAGGAATACAAGTCTTCCATTCACTCACGCTGTAAGACCCCAAAACAAAATTAATTTCGTTAGCATAGATTAATTTTAATTTGACATGATTTATATACCAATATTTTATGATGTGGGCTATTTTGTGAAGTTTTGTTTTTGTGTTAAATCTTGTTAACTGAAGTAGTATCAGCTAAGTGAATGGCAAAAAAAAAGCGAAATAAAGAAAATTGTTACATGTTGGTATGGGTGATGCCATATGTGGTGGGTGTTTTGATAACTATAAATAGTAAAATTGTTAGAATTCTTTTACATTTAAAACTTATTGTTTATGTTGGGGACTAAAGAAGCTGCCAGCACTAACTCACACACACAACATGTAGCTACTGATTTATATGTATATATAGGATTGATAAGAATGAGGTGTGGTGGGACATTTTTGTCTTTTAAAGTTTTTTTTAAAATAAAAGATATATGTATATACATACTTGATGAGTCATGGAACACGCGTTGGTATGGTGTGTGAAATTGAGGGTGAGTTGGTGTTTGGAAGCTTTGGAATTAATGAGTAAAATAAAGAAAGGAAAATAGATATAACTTGTAGACAAGCAAAGTTATGTATATGAAGCTAAATTAGGGATCAGTTCTGGGGTTGTTTACTGGCAGCAAGAAAAATAAACTCAAAAAGGAAAGAAAGATCAATAGCTTTGTACGACCAAGGAGAAGGGGGAAAAGAAAATGGGTTTTAGACAAATTACTGCGTACAGGTAGAGGGTTTTGTTTTTATTATTGGAAATTTTTCTTACTGAAAGTTTTTCAATCAAATTCCTTAAGAATGAATTATTGAGTTGGTTTGGATAAATTTTATTTATCTTATTGTCTTTCTCTTAATTGAGTTATTAATCTCTATAAAGTGAGATAATTTGCTGGGTATGTGTAAATTAGGTATATCTTGATACCTTTAATATATAATTAATTATGGTAAAGAGAGGAGATTGGGAAGTTGGTTATGGAAGTTTTGTTTAAATAAGAAAATAAAAATTGTTAGTCTTATGGCCACTGTACGGAACCCACAAAGAAGAAAAGAAATAAAAAAGAAAAAAGAAAGGGATTGATCAATCCAGTAAAGGAATTTTCTATTTCTATATTTAATGTGTGTAATATTTCAACTTTCCATGAATAGTCTAATTTATGAATGTTGTATAAATCATGTGGATTTCTATTTGTTTAGTTATTTCACCTAACTCAAGTATGAATTTATTAATGGTTAGTTTGATAGAATGATGAAGTTGAGACTTCATATAAACAATTGTGCTTTCAGTTTTAATTATAATGGTGTAGATGGTTGGGACTATTATAGATGTAACGATTATTATTTAATTTATGCAGAAAAAAAATATAACATGGTTATAATGTTGTTCAGGAAAGGAGAAGGAACAAATAACTTCAGCAATATCAAAGGATAAATAGACAATTTGAGAAGTAGCCAAGGTGAGTGTACTCACGGGAAATTTATACTTGAATGTGTTTAATTGAAGTATTGAAGCTATTTATGTGAATTGAAGATGAATATATATAATTTGATTATGTTATATAAGGTCCATACTCTGGCCTAGAAAGAGAGTAATATATTATATAAGGTCCATACTCTGGCCTGGAAGGAGAGTACTACATTAAATAAGGTCCATATTCTGGCCAAGAAAGAGAGTACTATATTTAAATAAGGTCCATACTCTGGCCTAGAAGGAGAGTATTATATTTCAAATGCCTGTAAAGTTAAAAGTTATATGTTATGAAGTTAAATTGAAGTTATCAGATAATATTTGTTTATATTATTCTGATGTAGTAGTGTTGCATTAAGCTCACTCCTTCCATATCTATATTTTCAGGTACAAGGTTGGGTCGCTACTGCCAGGTCTAAAGTCTTAGGTATGAATAGGGAAAAGAACAAGGGAACGTCTTTTGTATAAAATGTAAATATTGTAGTAGAACTTAATATTGTGACTTGTAGTTACTTGTTAGTTTTCATAGAACTTGCTTGGTGGATCTATTTTTTATTTTTAATTGTAACCTTTTAAACAGGCACTCTGATATATGATGGCGTCATGTATATATAAGGTTAATGCAGATGGTTAGATACATTCCAATTGTTCAATTTATTTAATTTAGTAAATTGGGTTGGGGTGTGTCAATTTTTGGTATCAGAGTCTAGGTTTTCTAGGTTCTGGAGGTAGTAAGAGTCTAGACTGGCAGTGGCAGTAGGAAGTGTGTAGTAAAGTCATTTCTTTGACTTGATTTTATACTAACAAATATATGCGGTAATTATATATATATATATATATATATATATATATATATATATATATATAGGTTGTTATCTTCAAAATTCATTGCAGATAAAAAGTAATGGAATGAGGAAGTGGTTATCATAGAATCGAGGAAGAAGCCTCTTATGTTCCTGTTGAGGCTGAAGTGGAACAACCTATTCAGGGTGGTATGAGAAGAGAACATGAGTACTTGACCGGTATGCAGAAAATGGAGAAGGCGATAACAGACTTGGCAGAACAAAACAAACAATTTATGGCAAGTCAAATGATGATACAAGAAAGGCTGGAAGACAACAGAAAAGAAAGAAAAGCTCAGATTATGAGAGGTTTATCAAGTTAATACCCCCAGAATTTGCAGGTACTACTAAACCAGAAGAAGCAGAGGGGTGGGTAAGAAGAATGGAATCGATATTTGTAGTGATGGGTGCAGCAGAAGACCAGAAGGTAAACTTAGCTACATTTATGTTCAAAAATGAAACTAGTTATTGGTGGGACACGACAAAACATTTATTGCTCATTCCAGGAGAGAAAGAGGTGATATTATGGGATCCATTTGTTAAAGCTTTTTATGAGAAATATTTCCCTCCAATTTACAGAAAAGAGAAGGAACGGGAGTTTATTCTCCTTAAACAAAATAGAATGTCTGTGGTTGATTATGAAGTTAAGTTTACAGCTTTATCGAGGTTCGCACCCAAGTTTGTACAGAATGAAGAAGATAAATGCACAAAATTCCAAGATGGGTTAGAGACGGCTATTAAGTCTAGAGTTTCAGTGTTTGAGGAAACAGATTATAACAGACTTGTGAATAAAGCCATGATTGCCGAAAGGGATGTGAAAGAATTGCAAGAAAGAAAGGAACAATACAAAAGAAATAGATCTGAGCCGTCACAGTCAAGAGAAGGTGAAGGAATTTTGTGATACCCCTCGGATCTGAGACACGGGTTGATCAGGCCCAGGCCCAAACCCGAGGGAGTATCAAACAATTAATATGTTATAGCGAACACAGAATACAAAATGAATTAAGAAATGAAAGTTTAAAGCTGAAAAGAAACTAAAAGATAATCCTTAAATAATTAAATACTTAAATTTGATAAACCAAATATCCATAATTTGAACAACTCGGGAATCCATCTCTAGTGGACCCCTAATAAAAATCTCACATTAAAAGAAAGTAAAAAGAAAAATAAACCCAAATCCAAGATCTGGAAAGAAATCCTACATCGTCGGTAGAATGGAAGATCGTCTCTGCACAGCACGAACAAGCTCAAGCCTGGAACTGATGTACACCTGAAAAATAGGAGTGGGTCAGGCCCACGAACAAGTTCTATCCTACTACAATCCAAGCAGAGACTCGATACGCATGTACATTCTAACCAACTCAACATTAGCTAATAGTCTGTATGTATATATATATAATCACACTAAAGGACTCTCACTGGACTACAGGCCGGTCTCAACCTGAATAGAGGCAACATGCAAAACGCACACAAAGTGGGCATGTGTACCTAAGCCTAACAGGGTACACCTCCAACCATCATAGCCAGCTATGCATCCCAATGCATATACGCTCCCTAACCGTCGATCCTGAGACTCAAGCTCATATCGAGGTACCATAAAAATATATCTAAAATCCATCCAGAATCCCTTGACACTACAAATCCATAGGATTTCACCTTTAGTCAATCCATTTCCTTAATCCCAGAATAGGTAGGACTTAGCGGTTTTTGAGCTAATCCCCCTTGTATGCCCCCGTCCCATACCGGTGCATACATTTCATCCATCCAGTAGTTGATAATACAGACCATGCATGTAAATATCAACTGATCCATAAATCCAACAATTTAGAATAAAAATATTAAACTAGACATTCAATTGTTCCATAAAAAACATACAAAAATTATATAATTTCATATGCTGATTTTTAAACTACGCAACCATAATCTAGTAATTGGTGATATAACAGTATATGAAATTATCAATTTATCCCAGAATCCATATTATTGAGAGAACATGAATAAACATCTACCTCAATTGATTCCATAGCAAGCATAATGAACATTGACAAATTATCATGCTTATATCACCAATCCAACAATTGATGCGATAAATGCTGAAATTTAAACATCAATTACTCCTTAACAAGCATAGTAAATATATATAGATTTTAACAATGCTTATTTTATACCATTAATACATGACTAGAATTTGATAATCATTTACAGAAAGTTCCTACAACAAGTTAAGCAACTTAAACCACTTGCATTCCCTAACAGTTTACAACTTTGTTTAGAATTGGTTATTGTTCAACTAATAAACCCCAAGTGGTTTATTAACCATTCCCACACCCTCTGGAGCTTTAATATAACCTTAAAACTCATTTAGGTTCCCATGTACAGTCCCTGAATGTTCCAAACAGATCAAAAACTCAGCCAAGAAGCAAAATTCGTCAAAAATTGCATCAAAAGGGGAAGGAGCCGCCTCCCCCACATAGGGAGCCGCCTCCCCCTTGTGTGGAGCCGGCTCCACTCCATGTGGAGCCGCCTCCACACACCCTAGAGCCGGCTCCACCTTGTGTGGAGCCGCCTCTTCCTCCTGTTCCCCTCTCTGCTTGCGTTCCTTCTTCAGTTTCATCTCCGGCGACCCCCAGTTTGATCTGTCCTTAACTCTAAAGGTTTCTCTTGACTAAAACTAGGTTTCTAATGTTCCATATAATTTAAAACTCATTAATCTTCAATCTACTTGAATCAGAACAGGAAATAGCAAAGATGAGTTATAACAAGAAATCTCGAAGCATGTAAACACATGCGGTTCGAAACGAACCTACCATACAAACCAGATCTCTGTTATTACTTCCCAGTGTGTTACAGACTAATTCAACACTGTTCACGTTAATCTACATGAATTAATTCAGGAGTTACGCAAGAAAGAATCCGAAACAACCAATACGTAACATGTAACCACAACCAGTTTTGTTTTTCATTCAGACAAGCCATCCGGTTTAATATTAATCTTTATTAGTCCTGGAGTTGCATTAAACATGTAATGAACACAAGTCCAAGGGAGAGAGTTAGGAATAGAACTTGCCTTTTGCCTTTAGCCTTGCACAGTCGTCTTCCTACTTTCTCCGGCAACGTCCTACTGAAATCCTCCTCTGTTCTCTCTTTCTACCTCCACTGTCGTGAATAGTTTATTTTTTCTAAAACCCTAAGCAGACTTAATACTTATATTTATAAGTGTATGCGGAACCTAAAATCAAGCCAAACCCTACAATGAATCCTAACCGTCCCATAGAGAATCCTAATTAAAAGCTACGTCGGCTACCAAGACTTAACTTCTAAAACAAAACCCTAAAGTAAACGTTAACTAAACCCTAATGTAAATCAATTAAGCATTTAAAAGAATTAAAATACAAAAATACAATTAACTAATCAATTAAATAAATTAAAACACCATAAGTCAAACAAGTAAGTCAAATCCTTAAAAAGTCAAAAAGTCAATTAAACAGAATTCAAAAACAATTAATCCTTAAAAAGTCAATTAAACATAATTCAAAAACAACTAATGAACAGATAATGAACAGAAAACAATTAATTAACAGAAAGCGAGTAAACAAAAATACCGAGACTATCCTTTTGAAAATTAGGGGTATTACATTCTTCCCCCCTAACAAAAGGAATTCCGTCCTCGGAATTCGCTCTTACCTTCTTCCAAAATTCCCGGAAATTGCGAGCGAATGACATCTTCCCGTTCCCAAGTAGACTCAGCCTCATTGTGATGACTCCACTGAACACGAACCAAAGGAATAACTTTATTACGAAGAATCTGATCTCGGCGGTCGACAATACGACACGGTGGCTCTAAATAAGTTGCATCCGGTTGCAACTCAATCTCCCCAACATCGATATGCTGATATCGATCCTCATCTCGCAGAAATTTCCGCAACATGGAAACATGAAACACGTTGTGAACGCGATCCAAAGTATCCGGAAGTGCCAACCGATAAGCGACAGCTTCAACGCGATCCGTAATCATGAATGGACCGACAAACCGCGGAGACAACTTCCCTTTCTTCCCAAAACGCATAACACCCTTCATAGGAGATACTTTAAGAAGAACCTGATCCCCAACCTGAAACTCCAAAGCACGAGTGCGACGATCAGCATAGCTCTTCTGCCTACTTTGGGCAGTACGCATGCGATCTCGAATAAGAGCAATCTTTTCAGAGGTATCCTGAATGAACTCAGGACCTAAAAATCGATTCTCTCCAACCTCCATCCAACAAACAGGTGATCGACACGGTCGACCGTATAACGCCTCAAAAGGTGCCATTCCAATAGTCTTCTGGAAACTATTGTTATAAGCAACCTCCACAAGTGGCAAATATTCCTCCCAGTGGCCCTTGAAATCCAGAACACACGACCGAAGCATATCTTCCATAATCTGATTCACCCTCTCAGTCTGTCCATCAGTCTGAGGATGATAAGCAGTACTAAGGTGTAACTCCGTACCTAAAGCCTGCTGAAAACTCTTCCAAAATCCAGATACAAAGCTCGAATCCCTATCCGATATAATAGACAATGGAATGCCATGTAGCTTCACAATCTCTGAAATGTAAAGCCTCGCCAACTGCTCCGAAGTGTAGTCAGTGCAAATAGGCAAGAAATGAGCTGACTTGGTCAACCTATCCACAATGACCCATATGGAATTATGCCCCTTGAAAGAATTTGGCAACCCTTCCACAAAATCCATAGATATGCTCTCCCATTTCCACTCTGGAATTGGTAGTGACTGTAGAGCTCCTGGCGGCCTCTGATGATCAATCTTAACCATCTGACAAGTACTACACTGAGAAACAAAAAGAGCAATGTCCCTCTTCATACCTGCCCACCAAAACTGTCGTTTCATATCTTGATACATCTTATCGCCTCCTGGATGAACAGAGAACTCAGAGTGATGAGTCTCAGTCATCACATCCTTCCTCAAATTATCAGCAGAAGGTACCACTAGCCGTCCCTTGTACCTTAAACCTCCATCAGCCCCAACATGGTAGAATGGAACCTCTCCGGAAGCTATCTCTGTGACCTTGTCGACACATTGCTGATCAGTGAGTTGTGCTTGTAAAACCTTGCGAATGATGGAAGGTGTAACCACCATGCAAGTCATAAAAGCATCTGACAACTCATCTACATTCTTCAAAGCATTCCACTCAGTAGTGAATAGAGCAGAAAGACTACCAACGGGTCGGCGACTGAGTGCATCCGCCACCACATTCGCTTTCCCTGGATGGTACTGTATAGAGAAATGATAGTCTTTTACAAACTCCAACCATCTGCGCTGTCTCATATTCAGCTCCCGCTGAGTGAACAAGTACTGCAGACTCTTGTGATCACTGAATAATCTGAAAGACTCACCCAACAGATAATGCCTCCAAATACGCAAGGCAAAGACCACTGCTGCCAATTCCAAATCATGTGTCGGATAATTAAGTTCATGAGGCTTAAGTTTCCGAGATCCATAAGAAATCGGTCGCTCCTCCTGCATTAATACACATCCAAGACCCTGCAACGATGCATCCGTATAAACAAGATACTCTATCCCGCTTTGCGGAGTAGCCAGAACCGGTGCAGAAGTCAACTTCCTTTTCAGCTCATCAAAAGCCCGCTGACAGTGTTCATCCCACACGAACTGTACACCCTTCTTGGTCAGATGAGTGAGTGGTCCTGCTATCTTGGAGAACCCCTGGATGAATCTCCTGTAATATCCTGCCAGACCGAGAAAACTCCGAATCTCTGTAGGTGATGTAGGCTGTCCCCACTCAACCACCGCCGAAACCTTGGCCGGATCCACTGCGATCCCCTTTTCTAACACCACGTGACCCAGAAATTTCACCTCCCGCTGCCAAAATTCACACTTCTCGA